GAGGGGGGGAGGGGAAGAAAAAGAGCAAAACTAGACAACAGAATAAATGTATACTGGCCAAAGGACTTCTAAAACATTCTGCCGTTAGTAGGAGTATTACAGGAGCATTCATTAACTTCCCAAAAGACATGTGTTCAAATCAGGAGGAGCAGATTTGCCTTCTCTGCTACTCATACACTCTGGTAAATAACCCTTACCAGTGGTTAACAGACAGAAGAGAAACTGTTAAATTCTAGTGGACAAAAACCCCAAAGATTTTGGCCCATGGATTACTTTTGAGTCCATCTAAAAGCCATGTGAACAATACAGCTGCTAGACTTTTCCAAAACCAGCTATTTGAATAGAGGTAGCTTTTTTTGATATTATTGAAACTGGTATGTAGTGTATGCAAACCCCTATTTACTACTGCAAAATATTTTGCTGATTTAAACTAAGATACTGTTACATTTTAGGAAGCAAACAAAGGTGTAATTTACACAACAGTAAATAAACTCAGCAATTACCTAAAAGTCATCCTCAGCCTTAAGCAATAATTAACCTTTTGGTATTACAAAGAGTAAGTGGGCTCAAGCTGGAGCAGTGACCTAGCTCTATTAACTCTGTCATATATATATGCATGCTTTTTGGTATCTACAGGACTGACTGACGACTAGCCATAGATCTGATTTAACTCCTGTGTATATTGAAACAGTTGAGAATAATTAAATAGTTAAACTAAAACCATTCTTTCGGTGTTTGTTCCACCTAGCAGAACACATTTGAAATAAATAAGATGCCTATCAACTTCCAAAAAAGAAAGTGTCCTATTTTGGAAAACTACTGTATTGCAAATGAAATTAACAGGTTCACTAACATCTCAGTATAGTTTTAAAAAGCAGCATTTAAAACACCAAAATTGCAGTCGCAACAAAACTGTTCTATAACTACTTACATGACTATTTTTAAACGTATCTATCTTTGGATCAATACCTTATGAAGGTCCTCCTTTTCTTGCCGCAGTACTCTGCACTGTTTTTCTAGTCCTTTCAACTTGTGTATAGAGTCTTCATGTTCTTGTCGAAAAGACACTGCATCTGCAAGCTGTCCTTCCAGTTTACTTATATCTGTAGATTAATACATATTAAAGGTAACTGGTCCCAAATTTACACCAATAAAGCACGCAACATTACTCAAGCAAACTGGCATCACTTTGTTTGGAAAATCAACTTCTTTCCCGTTCCCACCATTTTAGACTGTTTAAGGTAATTTTGGGCATTGACAGCTCCATTTAATTTTAATTTTCTCAACCTATTAAAGAAATCCTCCCAAAGACTGTGATCTCTTGAAGTGAAAAAGCCTTAGCACAGGGCTTTGTTTTGTTTTTAAGGAATGCAACTTCTAGCCCTTGAAAACATTGAAATAAACTTGAGTTGTTCAAATTCCAGTTCTAGTAATTTGTCTCCTAAATAGTTTTCATTATATGACAAGCAAGGCTACAGTCAGTCATTAGTGCATCCAGCAAGACAGGAAAGGACTATTTATTTTGGAGTGGATAAGAACTCACAATCTGAGAAGGAAATACCATCCTGCACGAGGCAGGTTGGAGACCCGACTCGACTGCCCATATTCCTGGCAGTATATTCTCCTGATCATTCTCTCTTTACTCTCAAAGAAAATTAAACAAATTTGATTTGAAATTATCACCTTTAAGTGCAACAAACTAAACACCTTTATATATTTCTGCTCAGTCTTAAGAGCTAGTAAGAAAATGAACTGCCATTCTCCATTTGGTTTTAATTATTACTTCTTTTAAACAAATAAATAAATTGCACAGGGAATAACTGTCTCACTCAAGTTCCACTGATGTCTGTGGCAGAACAGGAAATTGGACCTATGTATTAAGGATCCCAAGCACTGCTGTAACGATTGAAGTATTATTCCTTTTCTCATTTCAGCACAAACCTCCTCCCACTCCACGCAAACCAATACTACTTCTTTTTAAACAAGATCATACTGCTAGTTTTTATATTTAACAGGACACCATCGGCTGAAGAGCTAGATAAATGTGAACCATTTGCAGAAGTAGCACGTTAATCTAACTACTTTGACTCAAACCTAATTTCAGAATATACAAGAATAGCTTTTTTTGGAAGGGTAATCTGCTTAGGAGAGCTGAGCTGATTTTTGCAATGCATGCACTTACAAAGGGGGTATATTGCCAAACTGCGGGGGGCGTGGGGGGGGAAGCGGAAATCAACATCAGCAACTCAGCATCTGAACTCACTTACGTTATACTACAGGCCCCTACAAACCTCTCAGCCGAGTCATTAGGATTCAAAACTACCATTTTGTTTATCACTGATTCCCACTTAAAAGTTAGATGCTAAGAGGAGGTTTGTATGGATAAACTAATAGCATTGTCAAGCAACAGATTTTCAGTGATATGGATGAGTCAGTCTTCTCTCAGGACAGATGCCAGTATTTGTTTTTCTGCAATGCTCAGTGCTTCCTAGTTAATGCATCACCAGACAGAAACACAAAGGGAGCAGGAGCTCAGAAATATTTTAATGTGAACTATTATTACACATCCTCCCACCCTTACATTACTAAAGAGCAACTAGTTTTCCCTCCCCACTGCCTCTTACACCTACCTCCAGTAAAAGCCCTCCAAAACAATACCCACCCCCCAAAAGGAGGAGTAAGAGAATCTCTTGAGACTTCTAGAAATGTCACAAAAAATATTTAACTGAACCCATCTAGACAATTCATTGTACTCTAGACTCCCCATGCTAGTATATGCTATCAGGCCGAGCAAGTGGAAGAAAAAGTTAAGTGCTCACTGGAAAAACTGAAATTCCTCTTAATATTGAACAAGACTTTAAAAAACGCTCCGTTTTTTTTTTTTTAGCACTTCAAGAACATTAATTTTACTCATTGCAAAAACACAGTACATATTTTGCTACTCCTAGTAACATTAAATTGCATCACTGTAATTACCATGCCAGAGGCTTACCTGTTAATTTGTTCTTCAACCGTTCAATTTCTTCATTTAATTTTTTTATTTCCTTATCACGGCTTGTATTTACTGTAACACATGCTGGACCCTGGAGGTTCTGCATTGTCTGTGTAGATTCTTAAAACCAGAAAAGGAAGGAAAAGGTTTTCAATAAAATACATTCCAATTCCTCCTAATGAGCAGAACTAAGAATCCAAACAAATATAAACCACTAACCTTGCAGTTTTCTGTTCAAATCCTGTTTTTCTTGCTCTAATTTCCGTATTTTCTTTTCATAGCCTTCTATTTGTGAAGTGTTCTTTAAGTCACGCTGTACATCCATATCTTTGGTTACAGTGTCAGACTGCATCGCACTCTTTAAAGTGCCTCTATCAGATAAAGAGCTGAAAAGAAATACGTAAGTTAGGACATTTTAATAAATACTCACAGCAATCTATAGTAGGGACATGCTGGGATTCCACCAAATACATACCTTAAATTTACAAGAACAATTAGTGCAGTACTGTTGAGATACAGATGTCAAGGTAGATTAAGTTATTATTCCCTAGCTACTGTGTTTGCTGCTGTAGAATTAAGATACCTGCATTCAGGACTTTAATGATGCGGACGTATATTCACTTTACAAACTGCCTAAATGATTGAAAATGTTAGCTCTCCTATGCCAAAGGTTACTAGTACCTGACAGCAAAGTAAGCGTATGTGCACTGAGAGAGCCGAGAAACAAACCCAAAAGTTTGAAGTGTGACAAAGATGGATTTCAGTTAAGCCACATGATCTCACTCTGAAAAGGATGAGATGCGTGTACTGGGTTCTTTCTGAAATAGTATTGCATGGGGTAACAAACCCCAGCAAAGGGAAATAACGGAATAACAAACAGGGCAGAATAACCTTAAGATCAGAGACAAGTATATGTTTAAGGGATCTCTGAAGTCAGATGGAGGCCATTTCAAAGACGTGCAAAGTGAGCCACTTTGTCCATGCTCAGAACCATCTATGTTAGCTTACCCTACCAGCAGGGCTTTGGACCCATGAGCTAATCCTGAACTGTTCCTGGCAGACATGCAATGTGCACAAGACTTGCTCTCAGCCTCTCAGTGCAGGAACAGCAAGTCTATACCCAATTGCAAGTGACACATCTAGTCCCTTAACTTCCATTCATTTCAAGAAGATAAAATATTAAATACAAAAGCATCTAATCTTGGCAAGCATGATCAAAACATGTTCAGACACTTGGAAAAAAAAAAAAAGGGATAAAGGTTTATCCACAGGTACACCTATGGACATCAACCTTTCTACATGTTTATAAAAATGAGAATTTCCTAGAATTAGCTGCATTTGGGAAACAAGTTTAATGAACAACATACCCTTTGCTTACCTATCAGTTGTGTATGTAAACCCAACGAATGGCAAATGCAATCCAGAAAAGCCTGTATGAGAACTTGGTGGCACCACTTCCTGCATGAAAACAACATGCATGAAAACCCGAAAGAGAACCCATACAGAGCTAAAGGCATTTGATTTAGCCTCAACAGTTAAAGAGAGACAGCTAACGGAAAGACTTTTCTTAGCGCATACCAACTGACAATTGGCAGTTATGCTTCATTGTATAGCCTTCCACTGTCCCTGGACGAACTTTATTTCAGATTAGGTCACTTAATATAATGACCTGAATTTAGGAGTCTCTTGAACTGGCACTTGAAAGGGCAGCATTTCAACAAGTTCAAAGCACAATGTAAACAGTAAAAGAAAACCCGAAATTTCAAGTTCCTAATTAAAAGTGACCTGGCACCAAAATGCATGCTGTTAGTTTTAGTATGCTAGTTACTGTTAGATAATAAAAAAACATGCCAAAAACTCTTCATTTCTTGGAATACAAGCTGATGAATAAATTACCACAAAAGCCCTCTGCTTCTCCTAACCCGAGTTTGGAAATTACTACACAACAGAAATGGAGGAGGGAACACCAGTGTTCTCACTCCAAAAAGCAACCTCCTGGTCCTTAAGTGAGTGGAGAAGTAGCAGTGTGAGCTCTCTCATCTGGACAGCTGTGATCGCAAGCTGCATAGAGAATATGTGTATTTCTGAAGACATTTTTTTTTTCACCTTTGAAAAGGAATAAATCCAAATATTAGCTCCTTGTAAAGGTAAACTAAAAGGGCAACTAAGGGTTTTTCCCCACCAAAATATGTTTTAACTTTGACTGACCATGTAACAGTAGTCCATTTTGGCAAGTGCTACCATTTAGAAAAGCAGCTCGCGATTTCTGACAACCCAAAATGCCAGAGAGATGAAAAACTTGAATTTTTCACATTTGAAATGACTTATTTTTCATCTCTTACATTACTTATTTTGAAATAAGTTCTCACTACTACCTTATAGTGCAGCAAGGTTGCATACTTGCATTAGTAATATTTAAAAACAAAGACTCACTGGATTTCTTAATACATCATCATCTACATCAAAGTTTGAGGTGTCAGAAGGACTGCTAACATCTGGAATGTAAGGTGCTTCTAGGTTTCGGATGTTATCCCAATTAAGTCCTTCAAAAAATGCATGAGACTTAAAATCCTCTATTCCATTCTGTCCCAGTCTACGCTCCCTACTGCAGATAAGTCGCTGAATAAGATCTTTTGCTTCTTCAGATACATCTGTAACATGGGATGGAAACTGAAATCGTTCCTAGAAAACAAAACAAATAGAGAATTTTTTAGAGAAGGAATCCGTTCCATAACTTTCAACAGTAGGTTCAAAAAGAACGTGCTAAATTACACCAATAAAACTGGAAATGAATAGTCAAACATTGTTCTAGTTCCAGCGAGCAGTGGCAGAGCACAATGCAATACATTCAGTGACAGACTTTTTGTCTTAAAATGGATTTTGAGCACAAGTAATCGTTTCTCAATTTCTTTAATACAGATCCATTTGAAACTAACTGCAATTATAGTAACTCTATGAGGAAAAGCAAACTTTTTTTTTAAAGACATACAGGAATTTTGACACACTACAACGTATTAAAGATCATACAATAAAAGCAGACCCTCAATGGTATTCTTAGTCACAGATCCACCGACTCCCTGAAGATGTGCTCCTTGAGATTTTATTACCTTCAACTCTTAAAAACCCATGATGGTAGTCAATTCTTAACAAAATGTTGTTATATTTAAGGATGTATTTTTCTAATTTATAGGTTAAATACCTGTTTTTCTTACCAAAATATAATCTACATTTAGCAAAGATTTATATTATCATAAACAAACAGAAGATCTAAAAATTGTACTTATCACTAACATCTGAAATTACTCTAGATAAAAATTGGGGAAACTTTTTCTGTATTTTAGCTTGCTACTACTACCACTGTATAGTCAAGAAGGGCTTTCTGGTTTGTGTTTTTTCAATAAAGGACAATAGCATATATATCTATCTTTTTATAATACAACTTTTCAAGTTTAAAATGAGATCATTAGGGACCAAACCAATATAACTGAAATTAAACTTTAAAACTTCCATTGAAAAACATACAATCATATTGACTGTGTGTCCAAATGAGATTAAAATATTAAGTCTGCAGGACAACAGCTTCAAATTTCCTCCCAAGTACTTTAAGAACCAGGTAGCCAGAGTTTATGCTAGTTACATTTGCAACCAGCTAGTTCATTGAAGAAATTAAAGCAAGAGAGAGATTAATATTCATCACAGCAAGGGTGTCAGCACTGGCAAGGATTTCATGTCTTATCCATCACTGCTTCACTGTGAGAGCACAGCATTGTAAACACCAGTAAACTGCACTCATCCTGGGGAGAAGAAAATGCAACAATACACCCTATGCAACAGCTTCTGGCTACCTAGGATAAGTATGCACATAAACACAGCCTCCTAATACAGCTCTTGAAAGGACACCATGAACCGATTTATTCTTGTTCTCTAATGTTCAAAATGCACCCAGAAGTTCTAACTCTTCTCTACCACTTGACCCTGGACAAACCCCCTAACCTCATGTTCTTCATGAAGCTCAAATTCACGTTTTTCTACCACTTCCACTCAGGGCAACTCCCCCTGACCTCATGTTCCTCATGCAGCTCATGTCGACACCAGTTGACTTGCCTGTTCCCTTTTTTGTTCTGTTATCAGTGTGACAGAAAATGTGCGCAGCTGTGTAAATAATGAGTTACTTCATTTCTCCTGCACAGCCCAGAGGAAACTTTAAATGGGCCTAACATTAGAGGTGGTTTTAATTTCGATTTTGTGAAGTCTGCTTAGATTTTCCAACAAGAAAAACATCAGCATTTAGAGAAAAATTTCAATTTGACAAAAAAGCAAACATTCTTAAAACTTGAACCAACAAACCTACATGATATGGTTCTAAACCATCGTGAAAAAGCAAAAACTACCATCACTCCAATATCTTCAAGTGGTAACAGTTTCCCCGTAAACATTATAATCTCAGTGAATACATAGAGATTTAATATATCTCTTACTTCATGATTCATAATCTTCCCGTAAGTTTCCACTAATGACTCTGCATAAAAGGGTGTTTCACCATACAGCATTTCATACATGCAGACACCCAGTGACCACCAGTCACATTCAGGTCCATATTTTCCCATTCCATCTTCCATTGCTTGCAGTATCTCAGGGGAGATGTAGTCAGGTGTACCCACTGCTACTGATGATTGTACCTTAAAAATAAGGCAAACATAATTCTCATAAGTTTTCAGGTTCTCTCAGCAACTTTCTCACTCACACACTAGTATTTGTGACAAACAGAGACAACAGGACATAATTTTTGGAAAGGGAAGAGATTTATAAAATCACAGCAACAAAATAAAGAAAATATTAAGAAAGTAACAAAGACTGCAAAGATTAAGTTCCAGTCTACTTCTGCATAAAATCAGTTGATACATTTTATTCTGAACACAGTAGAAACCCGAAACAGTTATACCTGTTGTGAGAAACCAGAAAGACAAGAGGAGAAAATGTTTTGCCTTTGTATCTGTTTATACTTTAAAATTGCAGTTGGCTGCCAGAAGTTGAAATGAGAAATGAATAAGCAGGGAGTTCAAGTCCTACGCCCGAGTTTTACAGTTTCATTTGAAGACAGACCCCTATTTTTAGTATGTCAGAAATTGGTTTAAGGCTTATTGCATAGTTGTGCAACTGGGCAGTCGCAGAGCCGCTCTGATCTCTAGGAATATGTTCTCAGGATTCACATAGAGTTATAACGGCTCCTTCCAATTAATTTTGCATTTTAATATGCTAAATCATTGACAGGCATTTTATGACTACAGAATGCCACCAAGACTTGAGTTTGTGCCAAAAATCAGTGAATGATATTGCATGCCATATTTTAGCAGGATTGGCACCTCTGGAAGCACCCTACACTAGGCAAAACAAACAAAAAAAAAGAGTGATTTAGCTTTTAGGGGTGTATCCAATCTGGTGCACAAGACAGCCAATTACCATGATGTTGCTGTTGGATTTGTAACAGGCATATAAAATAAACTTCTTATTAATTATCTCCTCATTTTGAATGACTTATACTTCAAATCTGTCAGGGCTGCTAGGTTCCTGGTCACCTATGATTCCAGCACATAAATAATATCAAACTTCTATCCTTTTTTAACACAGGGTCTTTGGACAGTTCCTAAAAATCTCATGAGAACTCAAACAGCTAGTAGGAGAAAAGGTGAAAGATAGAAAAACATAGCCAAGGATAACTTTAAAAGGTAGCAGCCTGTAAAACAGGACATGAAGATGTCAAAAGTGTTTTTATAAATATCTTGAATTGTACACTTCCCTCAATTTTTAGCGTGTCAATAAGCTTATAATCTCTCACCTCCCTGACGCACGCTGACAATGTCTAATAGCTTTAAGACCAGCAACTCACTTAAAAGGTCCCACTAACAGTGACCCAAATAAATTTTTCATCATACATACTGTGCCATCTTCACTCATTTTCAGACAGGATCCAAAGTCTGCCAGTCGTATGTGGCCATTCACGTCCAAAAGGACATTATCAGGCTTTATGTCCCTGTTAGAATAGAAAGAAGTGAAAAGATTTAAACATATAGTATTAGCTCTGCTTGTAAAAATTAATCTTGCATCAGAATAACAAAGAATTTTATGTTGGATACCCACTGACGCAAAATCTTTTTATTGCACTAGTTATGACTCTCTCCTCCTGCCCAACTTAAAACTTTGCCTGCAATATTGAAGCTTTAGATTACATCACATTTTCACGCTCATCTAAGTTGAACTCTGAAAGGTCAAATAACCAAGCAGAACAATTACAGTGGTCATACTGACTGTAACAGGCAGTTCATCAACATAATTTCAAGATTATATATATCACAATATATTGTTTAGAGGCAAGAAAGATAAAAGAGAAAAGGCAATCTTTTTATCTCATGGTTTTTGCCAAGATTTATAACTAACTTCTAACTTCTTATCTAGGAAGATTTTTTTACTGCTTCTAAATTTTGTTCAGCATTTCTGTTGGCCAGTATTCTTCATTTGCTATTCAAGACTTCCTATACACTATTGCACAGCACATTGGCTTCTATGGATACCTAAAGACCTTTGCATCCTGTGTACATGCAGCAGTTACTCTACAAGCCACTGAATTCCCCCAGCTCTGGGATCAGGGCAATGCCATTTCAACAGGGTACAGTAACATTAGCAGGTCTCCAATATCAAACTGTGTCCTTCCTGTTCTTACAGATATAGCAGGGTATAAAACGGTATACAGCATGCTAAGGCTACTAAACGACATGGAACTAAGATTCCCATTTCATTCTAGCTCATTATTTTACATTCTTTTTGAAATCAGGAAGGCAGCCAAAAAGGATTTACTAAAGAGCATGTTAATTGAATTTAGCCCACCAATTAACCACATTTTATTTTACCACTTTGTACTCAAATTCACACAAAGTAAAGTATCAGTAAAAGATCAATCATCCAGACAACTTAATAAGACAGTCCTGATACACACTATGCTGTTTGTGTTGTGGTTTTTTTTTTTTTTTTAAATTAATAGCCTCAAAATATCCCAAATGTTGTTAAGAGTGCCTAGCCAATACATTAGGAAGGTGGTGAGAAAGGAAGGGAGAAGAGCAAGTGCAGAAATCAACTCAGTTATGTACCAATTCTGCAGGCTAAAAAGGAGAACATCCATGCCTTCCAAGGTAACATATATCAGTCTCCTTCCCTTTCTTCAGTAAACTCTACCCAGGATCAGCTCCCAACATGCTAGCATATCACCATGCCATTTTGAAATATTATTATTTATCTGAGCTAGCCAAAAAAGATAACTAAACCTATAAATGTATTGATTTGGGGTTTTTTTAAGATATCATATTTATTCAAATAATACTATCTATTAGTAATAAATAAAACTACATATGCTTTATGTTAAACCCACCAGTCTTGCTGCACCATAAAATACTGTATTCCTTTTCAAATGGGAAGTTCCAAATGCCACTGCATGTGCTCAAAAACTTAAAAAATGTACAATACCTTCAGCTTAATTTTTGAAAAAGAGACTAGAATTACCAGGAACAAGTTAAAAAAAAGTGCTCTAATACACCTTGCTACATAGATGTGGAAGCTGACAATTTCTGATTTTTAAGGTGCTGAATTCCACAGTTCACACTTGAGGAGACTTATGAGAAAAACCATGATAGGTTTAACAAAGGGTCCTCATATGTGTAAAAATCCTGCCAATCTGATAATTTTTTCCAACACAAACTTGAATTAACACTTTTCAACCAAGGGCTAATGCTTTGAAATTCATTACTGAAACTTCACTAACACTGTTGCTCATTAGCAGTATTAAGACAAAAGAGTAAATGCTAATCTATGCCTGTCAACATAAATTAAATGCTTACTTACTTGTTATAATACAGAAAAATATGTGCTAACCCAGAAAATGAGATCATCTCACTATGCTTTCCCAATAAACTCACTACTAATTTTCTATTGTTAAACTTATTCCATGCATTTCAGTTCCAGATACTGTCAACATTCCCTTACAGTCCCATAACCACAAGTCAAGCTCAGTAGGTGCAGAGGACTATTAAAGCTTATATACAACTATACACCAATTTTTTTGTTTGTTTGTTTTTTAAAGAACACTGCTCACAGTGCCATTTGAAGCATGAGCCAATGTCATCCAACACATCTCTGCTTTTCTGCTTTGCATGCAGCTCTCGCTTGCCTAAGGGAACACTGTTTCTGTTCAGAAATGCTTAATGCCTCATCTCTGAGCTCCACTGTTTCCTATCTACAGCTAACAGGTCATATAAGCCTTTAAAGGGTCCTTGAAATCCTCTCCAGAGCAATCATGCTTCCTCCTAATCCATTCCAGTTGCCAAGCAGTAATTTTTCAGGCATTCATACATCTCCTATTCAAAGCGTATGTTTTGGCCTCAGAGCCATTCATTCCTATCGCCACAACAGATGTTCACTCAGCCTCATGCAAAGATGTAGCTGGTCAGTTAGTCAGGCCACTTTCCTCAGAAATGGGTGCAATGGAGCCTCTGGTGAACTTCTGAGTCCATAACATTTTTGAATCCCCATGTATTGTCCACATTTACTCACAGGACTATTACAGAGTTTATGTACCTTTTCTCTTTTTAATTTTTGAAACAGTGATCAAAGTCCAAGCAGAAGAGTTCAAAGTGTTATAGTTTGAGAATTCCCTGTGTCTTTTAAATGTTAATTGTAAATAAAACGTTAATTGTTTATCTAACGGTTTTCACCCATAAATTTCATAAAAGAGACAGTAAAACTGTCCTTATTTCACAGACTAAGAAATAAAGGCGTAAAGAGGTAAAGGGTCCTGGCCAAGATGTACCTGCCAAGTCAGATACAGCGCTAGTATGAAGTCCGTTTCTCCTGAGCCTGGATTTCAGTGACCTATCATGAACCTACTTGTACAGCCATAAGCAGTTTTCAGTTAATTCAAAAACCTCACTACTCTCACACTCTGCATTTTCTAACTTCTGTTTACCGAAATCAAGCTACAAAGTCAGCATATAAAGAGACAACTGCAAAGGTTTCCAGAATTAGTATAATTTTGTTTTTAATTGACATATCATACATAGTTGTTAAATTTGAAAAGCAAACAAAGGATAGAAATTCTCACTTGATCCAGATTCTTGCAACGATGAAACAAAATATTTATCAAGTGCCTCCTTTGCATTACTCACAGCTCTTCTAAAACAGTTCCTCCAAGAGGAAGCCAAAAAAGAAGCATACAAAGTGTAGTCTACCTTCCTGACCAGTTTCCTCTGACAAAGAATAAGGAATATTATATATTCTTCACTACTACAGAACACAACCTAAGTTAACATGATGGTAGGCACTGATCTGGAATATACATCCTGTGTGCAGAAACAATTAGACAGGCACATGCCCACTCATTACAAAAACTGTTTGAGGATGACCTCAGGTAAATAGATGCACTGATGTTATCATGGGCTTACTGTGTGTAAGTTTTGCAGAATGTCTAAACATTTGCAGAGAATTCAAACTGCTTCAAACTTCTAGGTTGGCTTGGACAAAGGCAGATAAATATTCATGAAGTGAATTGAGAATAAGTCAAGAAGCCTGATTAAAAATAAAAGCTTTAGTAAAAGGTTAGTCAGATAAATGTCACTGTTTCTAATATCAATCCATCAAAACTTGGTATTTAAAATGTAATAGCTTATACAATATATAGTAAGCAAGTACCCACAGCAGTTTGCCTATGGCTACTGTGCCTATTTGCATATGTAGCAATATCTTTAGGATTAACGTTGTATAACTGTACATGTATTTTTTCCCAAGTGAGACAGTATTTTACCTGTGCACATAATGCAGCTCATGTATGGAATGTATAGCAAGCACCATTTCACCAATGTAGAACCTAGCCATATCTTCAGGAAGTTTGTCTTCAAACTTACTGAGAAGTGTCAGTAAGTCACCACCAACATAGTAGTCCATCACTAGATACTGAAAAAAGAGAAATAAAGCAGTTAAGTACTGACAGACAGGTGGTAAGAAAAAAAATTAAAGTTCCTCAGTTATCTGCTGAAAAAAATCCTTTCACTAATTTTTTTTTTTCTATGCCTGGGGAAAGTTGTCAAAATTGGTCATCATTTGCTTATTTAGTGTAAAAATATACCATATTCCTTTACTAATCACAGTAAGGGTGACACATCAGTGTTCAGTTCTTATCATAAAAAAAACCCAACCAAGATATGGCAGCAACAAATGAGTAAATCAGGGTGAGTTTATTTCTGTCTTAACTACAGTGTCACACAAAGAAAATGATCTAGTATCACCAAAGCTAATGTAGGTTATCAACCCTTAAACTGAGCATTTCCAGAGGATACAGGAAGAAAAAAACTATAGTTAAAAACAATACTTGATGCAGCTTAGTCTAAAATATATATTTCATAACTACTTTTAGTTTTGGTACCGTTTCAATACTACTAGTGGTTCCAAAAGTCGGACTTATCACATCAACATCTTCAAACACTCATCTTGGCACATGCCACATCATGAATGCATAACATAGCTGGCGGGACCTTGATGACACTATGCATTAGGGATGATCATGACAAGCCAGGAGCACAGTCAAGCCAGAGGCACTATTAGCAGTGGGAAACTTAAAGATCAAACATTTATGTTCTTTTGAACACATTTCAATGAAAAAGTAAACAGCCTCCTAGGCCAATCCTATCCATGGAAAGAACCAACATACATAGGGTAATATGAAAGAAAAGGACTCAGACTTGCTAGTTATTTCTCATACCACAAAACAGCGATTACATATTAGTTATTTCCTAGCAATATCCACCTACATCCAGACCATCACTTCAAGTATAATGACTTTATCTGGTACTACCAGTCTTGAGCCATTTTGTTCCATGCTTCCCAAGATGCTTTGATACATGGTTTTAGGAATAACTTTGCTTATTCTGAAAATAACTTTCCTAAGCAGTCATTCTTCTCCTCAAGGTAAAGCAACCTGCAATCCACTGTCCCTGCCACAGATTCATCTTCCACAAGGGAAAAAAAATTAAACAAGATAGGAACCCAAAGGAACATAAAGTACAACACTAACCATTTCCTCACTATCTTTTGGCTTAAAAGAGCAACTCCGAAAGGCATAGGTTTTGACATTTTTCTCCATAATATTCAAATTATAGCTTAATCTGATAGGCAAATTTAATCACTTATGTTGAAATCAGTCTGTACCGCACAACCCATTAAGGAATTTTAAACATGTGTTGGAACACTGTACACATACAACAATTATGTTTGAAAACAAAAGGCTACAGACAGGAACCAGCAATCTTTTAAAAGGGATATTGTATTAAAGTATTTTCTCTCAAAATCAAGTATAAGAGAGCTTAGAGAAGCTTCTTTGGGAGCTGAAATAGCATGCCTGTCAAAGAGGTAATGCACTTCCCTCAGCAAAGGTAATGCACTTCCCTCAGCTCCCATAGCATTTATAACTCAGCAAGAATTCAGCTGACCCATGAAATGAGGCACTTGGATCAGAGAAAGATGGAAGACCTCTTCTATAAGAAAGCCAAATTTTATTCATCTTCCAATTCACAATGATTTTCTTGCCAGAAGGCACTTCTCCCTTCACATGGGGTTAAAATAAAGGGTATTAAGATGCTGAAATCTAGAGGTATCGCATTCTTCCAGAGAAGTGACTACATCAAACAGGAGGAGAGTAGTTGGAAATCAAAGGAAAAAAAAAAGACATCAAAATACTCTCATGAATACGCCAGAGCCTTTAAGAGGCTGACAGCACACAAACACACATATGCCCCTCTTCATGAATGAGACTGGGAAAGAAAATTTTTCTGGTAAAGCACAAGAAAACTTACAGATTTGAATCTGGAAGAGATTACATGATTACAGGTCCCGTGCATGTTTCTAATATTCATGGACTATGTTTTATCTACACCGTATCTACTTCAGCAAAGTCACCAAAGACTTACTTAACCCATTTTGACTCAAACTGTCTCTACAAAAAGCTTTCTAGGAATTAGAAAAAAGCCATCCTAGCATTTCCATGTAATGTCATTTAAAAGTTGGCTGTTTAGAAAATACTACCACATGGTGTGTTTGCCTCTCAAACATTTTAAAATTACAGAAGCAGAACCAGAAAATTAACTGCAGAACATATGCATTTTGTGGAATTTTGTGTTTCTTGCTTATATGTAAATTCTGCATCATCACGTGCTCTACTAATATTAAATAGAGGGAATAAAACTCCAATAACTTCTAGACTCTCCAAGGGCAGCTACGACTTTTCTACCTTAACATCTCATCTTCTCTTTATTTGTGTCATTCTGAGCCCTTTATCATGCAGCCGGAGGAGGATAGCAAAGCCCTAGGTGTGGGAAAACACCAAGGTTCTCGCTCGGCTTCATCGTTACCTTACGTGGTTTTGCACTTAAGCACCATTAGCTATACTGCACCAACATCACTGGGAGCAGACACCAGAACCTAGAGCTTTCTCTTTTAGAGGACTGATGTCCACTCCAGGTCAGAGAACCAAGCTTTGTTGTCTGTTCTTGTTTTGTTCTCAGCTTTGCATTCCATTCTACAAGGATCAAGGATGAACAGCGCAGCTAAAAAGTAAACCCAATCTGCTCAGGTTCTGTAACATGGCCGCACTCTCCTGAGATGTGGAAAAACCTGGCTATAAACTTCTTCAAGCTGAGCAGAGAACTGAACAAGCCCCTGGACAAGTGAACCACTAAGATGGTATGGAAGAGAACCTTCTGTCCAGGTTTTTGGATGAAAGTCACTTCCTGATGTGTTTCACCTTTTCTTCACGCATCATTTACAACAGAGTGACTGAGATGCAGATACACTCCATCTGTGAGCACCAGACATTTACATGAGATGGATGCTAAGTAACAGACCAAATTGGAAGGCAGCATCTCAGCACACGCAGAACCAGACCTCAGACAAGCTGGGAATCTGCTGACTTTGGCTGCCAGGCAGTTGTTGCTTTCTTAGATACTGAATCTTAAATTAGATGCTAGATGTCTAAATTCTGCTGTCAAATGAAACTTCCACCATCTAAATGTCTTTGGCAACTTGGGGAAAAGAAATGTATTATACTGTTATAGCTTACTTGGAACAGATTTGTATAAAATGGTATTAGCAACACTAGATCCCCCTCTATGCTGTCATTACTACTGCTTGCTATCTTGCACAGCTAAGAATTTTTCCTTAGGTAGCTCCATTCTTAGAAGCTACTTGGAAATACTACATTACAGGATGTCTTAGGTTATTTTTATGCAAGTCTGAAGGCTGTTTGGTTCTGAGGGAATTTGAAATTATGAGCTATCTTCATAAGGCAGTGCCAGAGGTAACTAAACTTCGAGAGGTTGAAAATCTGGATCTGTCACAAAGCATTCAATGGAAATAGCCTGTAACTGAGGGTCTAAGACCCGACTACTTACTTGCTTAGAATGTGCTTGTTATTCTGAAAATACTTTCAACATGACAGTCAAAATAATTCATTTCATTTCAGCACCTGTGAAAAAGTCTGAGTATTTTCTAACTCTTTCATATGCTTAGTTCCTAAGCTCACTGACAGCCTTTTTATCAACACAATTTTTTTCTTATTTATAATCATGACTTGCTATTATGGTACTATCTAAAAAGTGTTAAGAAGGTGAAAACTTTCACACTACAACTATGTCAGTTGTTACAGAAATAGCAGGTTTGCAAACCCAGCCTCAAGTAGCCACACGGAAGCTCTATGGTTCAGTATATTGCAGTATGGTGGGGCTTTACTGACTTTGCTCCTGACCAGCACTCTCCTGAATTCTGTGACTAAAGTAAACATAGCTTATATATTACAGTTCTAGTAACCCATCATTAAAAAATGTAATAGGAGTAATGACTTCCTTTATAAATGGTAGCTAAAGTCTCTCAAACTACTAAGATGACCAATCCGCTGATTTAAAAACATATTTGAAATACTTTTAAGAAATATGCTGCTTTTTTTCCCTGAGGCTTTTAAAATACCAGTTTAATCAGCTTTTAAAATAAAAATTTTAAATTAATTAAAATTTAATTTTAAATTACTTTTGCCATTTTTAAACAAAATCTTGCTTCAAAAGACATTCTGCAAAATAAAATAAAAATATTTCTTATTTTCACAGAGTTAACACCTCTCAAATTATTTAATTGCAATGTTATCCAAAACATTAAACTTAAGCATGACATATTTTATGTAAGGGTAGATTAGTTAATTTAAGGTGCTTAACTAAACCTCTGTATACTGTAGTACTACATGACTTTCTCACTCTCCTGGAGTTACAGTCAGCCCTTTGAAGTATTTCTTCAAGGAGAAAACAAGAATGTTGAAACACTGCTGCAACGCACGAGATGGACTGACTTATTGCACTAATATCCTTAAATGTACCAAAAATAAAGTTCTTTCATAACTTAAACCTTTTATTTGCTGATGAATCAAACATACCAAATAGTTCTCATCTTGAAAGGCATAGTGCAACGTAGTAATCCACTGACAATCTCCATTCACCAAGACATTTCTTTCCTCTCGGAAACAAGCTGTCTAAGGAAGAGAGGGGAAAAAGCCATTGTCAACATCAACAAACAATTTTCACAGGATGAATATATATGGACGTTTTATGGGTTTGTTTAAAATTACTGAACAGAGGTCTCTATTCATTGGAATTCAGTCTGCAAAAGTGACAAACCAGGGAATCTGTGCAGGTTTGTAGTCAAGCATTCAATCACTCTAATCTGACTGTGACTTAAAAAAAAAAAAAAACCAAAAGAAAAAAAAAAACAACCAACACACAACACCTCCCCTCCAAAACACCAAAAAGCCCACAAACCAATTTGAGTCAACACTGAATCTTTGTTCCATAATGTATTTTTAAAAGCCAGAAAAATGATAACTTGTCACCGCAATCTGTAGCAGAAAGATAATGGCTCTAGGAAAGTAAGTCTGGTACTTCTGAAAAAGACCTTTGTGTAAATAGAGTTTCACCTATACTTACATTACAGTTCCAGTTCCACACACTGCCAGCACACTATAGGAAATAGGCAGACTTTACTATTGCTGTCTTATCTTCGTCCAGTATAATGCATTTTCATTTTCAGTAATTTTTCCTCTACTTCAAATAGCTCACTGCAACACTTCAGAGAAGCAAGCTCTGTGTAACAGGTTTTCTCAGCATCTTTACATAAAACCAACTTTCATAAACTTCAAGCGAGTCCTTCTTAATAAAAATATATTAATGTTTTTACTGGATCAGAACTATCAAGATGCAGAACTTGGGAGGACTCTTTCACTACTCTCAATTCAAAGAGCCATTATTAGGATATTCGGTAGCTGCAGTTCAAGTGTTTGGGTTCTGGATAATAATTGATTTTTTTTTTTTGGTCACTGCCACTTGTCCAGACGTCTTAGAAAATGTCCTATGGAAGGAATTCCTGGGAAGCCCAAGCTTTACCATATATTGAGTATATCTTATAAAGGTATCTCAACCATTTTTTCCCCCTAAGGAAGCAAAAGTCAGTTTACATTTCCACTGAAGAAGACCATATTGTGGTCACGTTGTAAAGTTAGTAATTATTGGTGCAAAGAAATGTAAATTGTAATTAAATGTTAACTGAGAGTGGTTTAACGGTTTATGAATGCAAGGCCAAAGTATCACTCTACAAAAAGTTTGGCAGCAACAGCAGCTCCAAGTAATCCTACCCCCTGCCCGCAGCACCAGAGCACAGCACTTCTCAGTTCTGGCACCACGATGTGAGGAGGCTGCCAACACGGAAAACTAGTTTGTTTATTTTCGAAGTTCCTTGATCCAGTTCACTGTGCAACCTCAAATAGCAAGGGAATGTTATGAACACTTCAAAACCAGTAATGCTGCTGAACACTTTGCATCATGAATTCAAAGTATAAGACTCCTTTTCTGCTTAGACTAGCTTAAAAGGCCTTGAGATGTGCCTTGAAAAAGCATGACAGCTACCTAATCAGCCAGTCAGGACTTATTTGGAACTGTCAACAGTAATACACTAACAACTATGTATTTTGCTGTCAGAACAACGAATACAAATGGTCCACCTTATCAACATAAATGGTATGCCTATTTTTGCTTGCAACCCATTTACGGATGTCAGTTGATATTCACTAATCTTTCCTGTATTTTAGTGGCTTCTGACCATGTTTTTTTTTTTCTTGCAGCTAGTACACAAATAAGCAGCGTTTAGATAACTTTGTTGCTATGTTTCGTAAATCATAAAATGTTTCATATTGCAATCCACAAAACAAACAAACCAGTATGACAACGTGCTGCTTAGACCACTCATACAGTGGATAATAAAACACCTGAAGTCTGCTTTTCAGTGGAACTGCCCACTTAAGAGGCTACTGTATTCTTGCAGGCTTCATTTTAAAAACTAACAAGTTTTACCACATTTGGGAAATTTTAACACCCAGATGTTTTATGAACTTGATATGCAGGTTATAAAGTCTTGCTTATCCAGAAAAGCCAAATCAAGTGAGCAAACCGAACAGGAAAAGACAAAGGGGCACAGCAGAGAAGACAGGTCCTTTATTGTCCTTTGTAGATGGGGAAAATGAGTGGAAAGAGAACTTAACTGGACTGTTACTTGTCCTAAGTGTGTATTGGGAAAACTATTGCTCATTATACCTCTTTCTTGGTGGATAACTCTCTTCCACCTCTTGCCTGCCTGAGAGGATAAGAGGAGTCAGTCACATAATTTGAAGACAATTTGTAAACAGCTGTCTTCTCAGGACATCTCTACATGTAGAAGTTTCAGCTATTTAGGTAGGCCATTTAATTAAGTCACTTTAAAAATTACTGAAATAAGCCAGCGTAGCTGTATTTCCATTAGACTTTGGGAGCCCCCTACAAGCATTGGGGTTTAAAACAACACGGACCAATGAATTAATCCAACTGAAACCTGTGTAGAAAAGGCCCCAAATTTCCCCCATAGAGGGAAGGCTTAATGCAGAACCGCCAATGCAGCACAGCCAAGAGCATGAACTCTCCTGACAGCTCAAAGAACAGCCGAGTGGCAGCGGCTGGCCCACCGCTTGTAAAGGAGAGCATGGACCGATGGACAGAGTGTGACTAAATCAGGCAAACGCAGTGGTGAAGAGGGGCTTAACAAGGAGGAGGAGATTTATTCACAGGAAAAGAGCTGGCACTGACTCACTGAAAGGAAGGGAAGGACTAGGAAGGGTAGGCTGGGGGGAGGTGGTGTCAGGAAGGGGACAGAAGAATGGAACTGGGAAGGGTCAGCAAGCTCAGTCCTCAGCAAGCAGCTAGCCTTCGCCCCTTAACAGAACAGCTGCAAATATTGATGGACTACATGTATTTTCACCTAAAATCTATTGTTCATTTAACTGCTGATTTATATAATATTACATTTGCCATAAGGTTTTCCTCTACAGTCAAAGAGTAGGATTCTGCAAATTCTAGGATGCAAATGCAAATTCGAGGAATATGCCACTTCCCATGGCATATTCTCAGCAGGTCCTTTCCTAATCCTAATTATTCACATTTGCCTAATTTGTTGTGACAATGTACATGTCCTTTCATCAAAAATACCCCTTTTTAAACAGATTTACCTTTTTAACACATTTTGTTTTACAATCTGAATCTGTGATTCCAAAGTATTTAGTTGGAGTTTCACCAGTTATATAAATCCTGTTACAAACGGCAGGATGCAAAGCTCCTTAATGTACGCTTTCTGAATGCAAGAGAAAAAAAGACCTTTTCATAATGTTTTTGTATACAGCTGTGAATGTCACAGTAGCACCAATCTCAGCTTTCATGAAGTCTTTAACTTGCCTTTATTGTAAACAAAAATTTGGCCAATAAATTCAGCGTAAGAACTAGGGCAAACTGTCTGGTAAATGAATACACAGTAATGCTGAGAACGACAGATGCCTGGAAGGGACTGTCAGACTTGATTGCACTAATACAGCTTAAGAAAAAAAGAAAAAAGAACGAAGCTCCTATGCTCATGAAATAATTTTTCCTAATCTGGAAGAGCTTCAGTGTAATTTTCCTAGTGTCATTTTAAAAATTCTGTCTGTTAGAGAACCGTATTACTTACCTCTGCCCTTTTAAGCATTTCCCATTTATTTAGAATTTTCATTGCATAAATGCGCTCTGTACACTTCATTTTAACAACTGCAACCTGAAATAATAAGATATCTTTATTTAACAAAAGCATGGTCAGAGTAATACAACATTTAAACAACTTAATATTCACACAAAAGCATGGTCGGAGAAATACAATATTTAAACATCTTAATATTAACAAAATATTAATAAAATAAGTTACTAAGGAGTCACCAGCGATCAGCTCACACATTGACAAATTACAGCTTGAGTCTTTGCTCCTTCTATAGTCCTCCTGCATTACTACAATGTACTTGATGCACAGCACACCATGTGTGGTCAAGTGCTCACGATCAAGTACACGGGGGATGATGCGGGAGGAGTATGAAGCTTTTCATATGAAGATGTGTAGTAAAGCTGCATTGTTTGCAAAGAACAAACGATGCTTGTATACCATGCCTTCAGCCAATAAGGCAACATTTAAAAGGACAGCCTGTGAAAACAAGGAAGGGTGCTGTCAATAGAAATACACTACATTTGACTAATTTTGTTTTCACATTTCAGGTTTCAGAAGCTTGAAAGATATTTGGAAATTAACATGCTTTTGTGTACTGTATGCAGATATTTAAAAAGAAGCAAAAACAATATTCATTTACTTATTCATCATTTTGCTTGAAGCATTTTACTATGCATCCTGTATATTAGACTTGCTCAGACTGGTCTATTAAGAAGTCAGTAGTTGTGCACATAGCTGTACAGTGGAAGAAAAAACAGAAGAATACAGAAACTTCAAGGCTTAGGAATGCAAAGACTTTATTTTCACCAAGACTTGTATTCTTCAAGACCAAAACTAATTCTTCTTGTAGTAAAGCCATCATTTCCACAAAATTCTTCCACTTGGCAAAGAAAAGCAGGCATCACCACTAAGACAGCAACATTTTCACAGGACTATACATGGACTTCTTGAATATTTCTGCTGCTTCTCAGCTTGTTGCTATTTCAGAAGTAGAAAACCAACCAGCTTTCATGGCTTTTAACAGAGCTCTAAATAGCAGTGGGAAAAGTAACAGGAATCACATCAGCTCGCCTCTTCTGTTGCTTAAAAACTCTTATCTATAAGGGATTCAGGAGCTGCAGCAACTCTAAGACGCTAACTATAAAACAAGGTTGGAATAATGCATCAAGCAGAGCAACACTACACAAAGTCAGAAATCCTGAGGAGGGAAGAGGGAAATATAATACCTCCCTGCACCTTGCCAATAAAGAAGCTCCAGATGAGAGGCAGAGGGACGACTGCTCCTCCAGTAACACAAGAATGGGATATTCACATTTAGACATCTGACTCTGCAGATGCATACCTAAGCCTCCCACCCCTCGGTATGTGAAGCTCCACTCACCAGGTCACATAATGGATGAGCAACACCTAGCACACACCTGCACACAGAGTCATGTAATGGAAACATATCTTAAGAGAAGGACTAGCAGGTACCCATCACAGCAAAGACATGGGAACCTGTCCCTAAACGCAGCTCGGAAAGACACAGCACAAAGAAGCAGCTTCTGTAAGCTATGTAGAACATCCACAGCTACATTACACACCAGTGTCTCCTGGCCTACAAACACCTGCTGCAGACACTTGAGGCTCTTTGGGACATATGAAACTGTTCAACGCTGACCTTATGTAATGGCCTAAAACATTTAGCTTTGTTCCTGTCCTCGTCATGGCCTTGCAGTTAAAAGCCATTGTAACAACCTCCCTGCAAACACGTAATTGAATTATTTGCCTGATAGAGCTGAACGCACACTGTAAGTCAAACTGCACATTAAAAGCTTTGGGAAACTGCAAGATGCTGACATTACCTGCTACACATTTTAAACTCTGTTCCATACAGAACATGACGACTCAGGAAATACCCCCATCTCCACTGAAGGGACACACCAAACTGAGCACCTGCTGCAGACGAACAAAAGCTCTGAGGCAGAAGCAATTTGCAAGCGTAGGTCTGCGAGCCCTGAAGTAGCAACATTCAGGTTTCATTACACCACAAGGCTAGAACTGCTCAGCCATTTACGTACAAACATAGTGCACAAATCAGAACCCCGATATGCATCTACTGCACTTTATCTAAGGCCATCACTGTCTGAAAGCACTGCAGGCTGACGGAGGTTTGAAGTGTGCTCAAGTGCTGAGGAGCAATGTGAGCCTGGCATGGCGGAGGACACGCACAGCTGAGGAGCTGTGCAAATGTTGGAACAGAAAGCGGTGAATGAGAACAGGCCTGGACAAAAAAAAAAGAAAAAAGAAAAAGGAATCCAAATATGTAGGACCTATTTAGCAATCCCTCAGTTGCTATCTATATTAGTGCTATTTATTTTCAACTGAAAGGACTGCTTAAAAAAAGCCCAATTTAAACTTTCTGGAGGAAGAGAATCGTCTTCTGTGGAATAAGAAGTGGGATGCAGTCGACTCATATTTTTACAATAAGTGGTTATCAAGTTATGGCACCAGCAAACATGCTGCTGCTGCTTTAGTTTTAAGGGGGACAGTGGGACAGCTTCTTGTGCCAGCAGAAAAATTCATGTATCCATACAGCAAAATAGGTAATTCCCCAAGAATTTTATCTCTGAAAAGAAACCTGTAAGGTGCAGAAGATGCCTCACAGAAGTAACAGAACTTTGGCCTGCCTTTCAACCCATTCTAATCATTAAGATTTTCTTCTTTTTTTTTTTTTTAAGAAAACAAACAGAAATGCAAACCCCAAACCTCATTGATGGCTGAACCAATCCAGGGAAGCACAAACTAAATTATGCCTTGATAAACTCAGTACTATTATAAGCAAGAATATTGTTGCAATACTGCAAAAAATCCTACACCCTTTGTTCCATAAAACACCTCAGCGTTTCCTCACTGAGCTAACTCAAGTTAGCTTTCTTTTACTTTCTTTATCAGGTGGCAGTATTTCTAAGTCTACATTCGTCATATAATGCTTTGGCTGCTGCTGAGATGCTGCGGTGTAGTTGTTTTTTCTTACTTTTGTATTAATTCCTCTTTCTCTGGCATACCTCAAATTCAATTACAATAACCACACTGACCACTTTGCAAGATCAAACAGAAACCTCTTATATTGCAATTGTGCTAACCATGCAAGATGTCAGATTTTAAATATGATGGCTCCTATACTACATACCAATCCACCACATCTACTAATGTAAGAAAAAATACCCTGTGTTCAGTACTATTCCAAAGGACACAGATTTGTACACTGCTGCAAATGCCTACTTTAATAACAAAAGCATTGCTTCTATCTTCAAAGTTTAAAAGTCTACTGGCCGAACAAGTGCTCACATTATGCACAGACTGTAAAAGACCAGGATTTAATTTTGATGCTCACTCTTCATTTCCAGCGTTATTACAACTTACACTGTAATAGAAGTTAAAAAAAAAAAGTACGCTAAGGATAATGAAAGGAAAAAAAGGCACAAGCAGAGGTATAAAATCTTCTTCTGAAGAAGAAGATTTAATAACCTAAAATATTCCAGGCCTGGAAGAGATAACAGCTATGACAGGCATACAAAACCACGAATGTGGCGGAGAAGATGAACAGAGAACAATTATTTGCTGTTTCTCATAACACAGAAATTGAAAAGTATCAAATAAAATAAAAAGGTAGCTTAAGGAAGTATTATTGTCACACAACAGTTTTGGAATTCAGCCACGGAGGCTGCTGTGGACACCTAAGTATTCAGAAAGTATTTAAGTACATGCTTAATGCCCAAGTAACACACGTAGCAGAAGTCTGAAACTACTTACCACTGAGTTACAGGTGTGGTTAGGGAGTCCCTGAACCCTCAGCCACTGGAAGCTGGCAGGGTTCAGCTCTGCTCTGGCCTTGGACTTTTCCTACACCTCTCCACCTAGCCAAAAGGATGGGATGTGGGCTAACTAATCCACACACCTTTGACCTAGAACAACTATCTTTGATACTTGCGTCAAATTAAGAAAATTAAAACTTACCCAACTTGCATTTCATTGTGCTAGGCTGGAATGGAGAATCGAGGGTTCCAAATACTCAACAATCACAGAGAGACTTAGGTGATTCTGTTTTACCAAGTCTTAAAACACTGATAAGGAAAAATTCCAGATGCAGGGGCTCCCCCGCCACTGCAGCCCCCCTTCCAGGCAAGCTCCTATGGGTCTAAACTGTCATCAGCTGATTTGATTACTGTCATTGCGACTCGTCAGGCTCAAGATTCACGGCAACAGGGACACTGCAATAGAGATCAAGTATGTTTCCTCAAGGACCTCAGAAAGCCTAATGAATTCTAGTGCCTACACTTCAACCAACTTAAGGCATATTTATGCCAAAAAAACGTATGAGAACTGGGGCTAAAGCATAAGTGAGAGCCAGCTTGGTAACTACACGCCATAACATCCTATCAGATTTGTATTACTTCTACCATCCCTTTTCTTCCAGTACTTTTTGCCTCAAAGCTCTGTTTCACTTGTATTGCAATAAAATAAAAATGGAACCAATATAGCTAAAATAACACTTTTAGACTTTGGCAAGAGCTAGTATTTTGCTTCTTGAATTGTTTTATGGAAGTATTTTGCTGCATTTTCATCTTCAAAAGCCACTTGATACTGACATTTAGGGTTGCAATGTGCAAAGCCAGCCTAGGCCAAGTTCCACCTTTCCTCATGCCCCGAATGAAATCTACAGGGTGGGAACCTGAGCCAAATCAGCCGCTACAAACACAACAGAACTTCCCACCACTGTACTCTGCCCTTTGAGTGACATGATCTACATCAGTAAGCAGTATCAAGTTACAAATTTTCTTTTATGTAAATGAGAAGCATGGCGTAAGAAAGTGCAGAAATCATTTAAATGCAAGACTGGATTTCCAGAAAACAATTAAGATAGTTAACAGAAAGACTTTCTACTGTAAAGTTTATAAATTCTTTGATGTTCAGCTTCTTGGAAACCATGCTGGCATTCGTTTCAAAGCAAAGATAAAAAAGCCACCTAATACACCATTCATGCTCATGGCACGTTAAACTTGCAGGTAAAACTTATC